AAACATGCGCACACACACACAAACACACACACAAACACACACATATACTCAAACAGAAGGACACAAACACACACACACATATACTGAAACACACATTTCCAACACACACATACAAACATGCGCACACACACACACACACACACACACACACACACATATACTCAAACAGAAGGACACAAACACACACACACACACATATACTGAAACACACATTTCCAACACACACATACAAACACGCACACACATACACACACACACTCACACACACACATATGCTCAAACAAAAGCACACACACAGGGACACACACATACATACTTAAACACACATTTTCCAGCACAGACGCACACAAACAAACACACACACTCACGGACACACACTCAAAAACGCACATTTTCAAACACAAACACACACACCCAAACAACGCACACACACGAACACACACACATAATAAAACACATGCTTGCATGCACAGATAAACACACACATACTTAAACACAAACTCAAACACAAGCACGCACGCACGGACACACACACACACACACACACAAATACTCAAACACATTTTCGCGCACAACACATATACTCGAGCACAAGCACACACACACACACACACATATACTGAAACACATTTTCAAACACGCGCATACAGTTACACACACATGTACTCAAGCACAAGCATGCACGGACACACACACACACACACATGCTCAAACACACATCCTCAAACATGCACACACATAGCCAAACAAGTGCACATACGCACACATACACAGACACACACACACACAAACACACACACACACACTCAAACACAAGCACGCATGCACGGACACACACACACATGCTCAAAGACACATTTACAAACACAAATACACACACGCCAATATGCACACACACACACAGACACACTCATAGACTTCCTTACACACAAACACATTCCTTAGATACACACAAATGCACGCACACACATTAAGAGTGTATGTTTAAGTCTGTTTGTATTTGTGAGTGTGTCTGTAAATTGTGTGTGTGTGTGTGTGTGTGTGTGTTGGCCACACTGAGGTTTTGAGCTGGTTAATAAATATGTAAATGAGCCTGATTTGCACACATTTGCGTGCGGCGCGAGCGTCTGATGTTTTCGGGCTTCCTGTCTGTGTGTTTGATCGTTCGCTCACACACATTTTGCATGATATTTGGCTCCCACTGAGACACACACACACACACACACACACACACACACACACATCATATATATGTGGAAAATGCACATTGGTGTTGTCTGTGAGGGACGTGTGTTTGCTTTCACTGAACTGAAACACTTTTGCATTGCAGGATTATTTACAAGAGCAGATTTGCATGAACATGTTTAACACACGTGAACTCAAACCAGCAACCTTCCTGCTGTGAGGCGATCGTGCTGCCCAGTGCGCCAGCGTGCCTTAATATAATTTAAGATAATATAAAATTGTTTTAAAATAATGCTTCCCAGTACTGGGTTGCAGCTGAAAGGGCATCCGCTGTGTAAAACATATGCTGGAATAGTTGGCGGTTCATTCCACTGTGGCGACCCCTGATAAATAAGGGACTAAGCTGAAGGAATGTGAATGAATGATGGTGAAAGTCATGCTTGCACTAATAATTGCTCTATTTACTACAGTAATTGTGTGTGTGTGTGTGTGTGTGTGTGCGCGCGTGTGTGTGTGTGTGTTTTCAGGCTTCAGCTCATTGATGATCTGTCATATGAAGATGTGAAGAAATGCTACAGAGGCTCAGTGAGTACAGATCTTCTAATTCACATCTGAATATCGCGGTAATATGTTATTATTTAGTTATTATTAGTTATTATTCAGTCTTTGACCACTGAAGCATACGCTTCATTCATCTGAAGGCTTCGGTTACACATTTGCACTGGATGTTGTATCTCTGACATGCACGTAAATTACCCTGATGTAAACAGTTGATTTACAGGAGAGTCCTGTAACTTATTTCTGACGTGTTTTTTACGCAATTGTTTGATGTTAGTTTGATGTTAATCGACATGAGATTAATTAGCATTAGGGGTTTATTTTATGTCATTTTGTCATCATGAAAGCGTATACATTTTGTTTTTGACAAAAAAATCGATTCGCTGTTTTGTCTCGATTTGTATTTTTGTCTTTTTTTGACATGGTTTTGACATCAAATTCATTAGCATTTTTGATTAGCATGTGTTTTTTACATCGTTATGACGTCATCAAAACGATTAGCATTTTCTGACGACATCGTCAAATCAGTTTGTATTTTTGACACCAAATTAATTTGCAATTTAGATTTTTTTATGTAGTTTTGACAAACAGATTAGCTGTTTTGTCGTCATTTTGGCATCATCAAATCAATTACCAGTTTTGCCAATTTTTTGACATTGTTTTGACATCATTAAATTCTTTTGCATTTTTTCATTAGCAAGTTTTTTTATGTCGTTTTGATGTCATCAAAACAATTTACATTTTGGCCACTTTTTTGACGTCAATCAGGGGTGTGTTTCCCAAACAACGACGTAACTCACAGCTGAACTATCATAGTACGATGCATCGTTTGGGAAAAGAACAATGTAGTGACGAGTGTTTGCCAAAACCCCTAGTTTCTCTGTCGCCGATCCATCGCTTGAACCATGTTAGTTATAATATAAAAGGTCTAGAGGTGTGGTTGGAGTGCTCAAGTTAGCAAATGTTCGCTGGAGCGATGGATTTTGAAAACGGCAAATCAACAAACTATGTTTGTGATGACAGAACTTGCAACCTTAGTTGGCATACGATGGTTTTGGGAAACGCACCCCAGGTTGATTTGCATTTTTGACATAATTTGACCATCAATTTGATTTGCATTTTTGACATAACCAAATTGATTAGCATTTTTATGTTTTTTTTTTATATATAATTTTGATGTCATCAAAACAATTAGCATTTTGACACTCGTTTTGACATCGTTAAATCGATGAGCATTTTTTGACGTGATTTTTCACATAATTTCGACATAAAATTAATTAGTATTTTTGACTTATATTTTGAAATCAAATTAATTAGCATTTTTAAGTGCTTGGGTTGCTTTGAGCATCAAAGTCAGCGTTTTGGCTTTTTTTTTTACATTATTTTGACCATAAAATTAATGAATATGTTAGACACTCTTTTAACATTGTTTTGACATCAAATCGATTCGCAGTTTTGTCTTTGTTTTGACCGCATCAAAAGGATTTGTATTTTTGTCACTTTTTTGACATGGTTTTGACATCAAATTCATTAGCATTTTTGATTAGCACGTGTTTTTTACATCCTTATGATGTCAACAAAACGATTAGCATTTTCTGACGACATTGTCAAATCAGTTCGTATTTTTGACGTTGTTTTGACACCAAATTACTTTTCAGTTTTGATTTTTTTATGTAGTTTTGACAAACAGATTAGCTGTTTTGTCGTCATTTTGGCATCATCAAATCAATTACTAGTTTTGCCACTTTTTTGACATTGTTTTGACATCATTAAATTCTTTTGCATTTTTTCATTAGCAAGTTTTTTTACGTCGTTTTGATGTCATCAAAACAATTTAGATTTTGGCCACTTTTTTGACGTCAATCAGGGGTGTGTTTCCCAAACAACGACGTAACTCACAGCTGAACTATCATAGTACGATGCATCGTTTGGGAAAAGAACAATGAAGTGACGAGTGTTTGCCAAAACCCCTAGTTTCTCTGTCGCAGATCCATCGCTTGAACCATGTTAGTTATAACATAAAACGTCTAGAGGTGTGGTTGTGAGTTAGCAAATGTTCGCTGGAGCAATGGATTTTGAAAACGGCAAATCAACAAACTATGTTTGTAACAATGGAACTTGCGACCTTAGTTGGCTAACGATGGTTTTGGGAAACGCACCCCAGGTTGATTTGCATTTTTAATATAATTTAACCTCAATTTCATTTGCATTTTTGACAATCAAATTAATTAGCATTTTTATGATTTTTTTTTTTATAATTTTGATGTCATCAAAACAATTAGCATTTTTTACACTCTTCTTAACGTTGTTTTGACATCGTTAAATTGATGAGCATTTTTGACGTGATTTTTCACATCATTTCGACATCAAATCAACTAGCATTTTTGACGTATTTTTTGAAATCAAATTAATTAGCATTTTTACATGCTTGCGTTGCTTTGCGCATCAAAGTCAGCGTTTTTGGCTTTTTTTTTTACAAAATTTTGACCATAAAATTAATTAATATGTTAGACACTCTTTATAACGTTGTTTTGATTGGCTTTTTTGACTTAATTTTGACAGAAATCAAGTAATATTTTTGACATCATCAAATCGATTTGCATCTCTTGACAGTTTTTTTAATGTTGTTTTGGGTTGTTTGGACGAGGAGAGCATGTGAAACCCACTAAACACGTCGCCCTTTTCTTCACAGACCGTCAGCAAATACAACTCTCAGTACCACAAACTGTTCTCCACCGTCCCGAAGGAGGAGATCCTGATGAAGGGTGAAGAAACACACACACGCACACACACACACACACACACACGCGCACACACACACACACTCACACTCACCAGAATATTCAATTCAATTCGATTCGTCTGTATTTCTATAGCTCTTTTAAAACAAAGATCGTGTCAAAGCAGCTTAACATATATGAATACAACATACACCAGAGCACGAACACAGACGCACAACAAACACACATAATCAGGTAATGGTATCATCGTAATAGTAATAATAATAATAATAATAATATTGTGTTTTGCTTTGAATTAAAGTGATTGTTTAGGCTCTGTTGCCAGATGTTTGTTTTTTAAATTTCTACTATTAATTAATTATTATCAATTATTAGATAAAAATATTATTGCTGTTGTTATTTTAGATTTTATTACTAGAAATACAGAAAAATAAAGCAGGAAAATACAATTCGTAGTTTGCGTGCGTGCGTGCGTGCGTGCGTGTGTGTGTATGAATATTATATTGCAGTGTGTGAGTGTGTGTGTGTGTTTTGATGAACGTGTCTCTGCTTTTCCTGTAGTGTATTCTTGTGCTCTTCTGAGGGATATTCTTCTGCAAGGACGACTTTACATTTCACGAAACTGGCTGTGCTTCTACGCAAACCTGTTCGGCAAAGACATCAAGGTATTGCTGCATATAGTGTGCATTAAAAAAAGATCAAATAAATTAAATGAGTATGACTGTTGTAACTAAATGTTATCGGGTTTTTATAAATATGTTTATTTTTTAAAAATTATTTTTGTAATTATTTGTTTTGTATTAATATTATTACTATTATTATTATTATTGTTTTTGTTAATTTATACTAGATGTAAATATGAATATTTTCTTTGGTAGAAAGTTGTGAAAAGTTTTTTTCTCTCTGTTTAATTTTTCGGGATAATATTTATTTTGTTTAAAGTAACAACAAGTAATTTATTTATTTATTTTTATTATTAGAAAAGTTGTTTTTTAATGCATTTTTATTTTAATTTTACTTATTTAACTTCAAGGTTTTGCTAAATGAAAATATAAAATATTTCTTTAATAGAGAGTTTGTTGAGAGTACATTATTTTAGTCATTGTAAAGTATAAATTTTAAATTTAGTAATTCTTAATTTTAGTTTCATGGTTTTATTTTTTGTCACTTTTTGTTTTATTTATTTCTATTAATAAAATACTTATTTTTAATGCAGCTTTATTTTAATTTGACATTTAATCTCATAGTTATGCTGAATGAAAATATCTGTTATTTCTTTGGTAGAGAGTAAAAGAAATAAGTAAAAAAATCTCTCTGTTTTATTATCTCGGGTAATGCTTATATTATTTCAAAAATAAATCATTGAGTGTGCAGGACTGATGGAGGAACTGATGTAAATTCACTGGTCAAACTGTGGAAACCCTGATTATTATTTAGGGGCACATTAAAATCCATCAGTGTGTGTGTGTGTGTGTGTGTGTGTGTGTGTGTGTGTGTGTGTGTGTGTGTGTGTGCTCAATAATTATTGTTATTATTTTTATCATATTTATTATTACAGTTTATTATTAATAATAATATTATTATTAATAACATTGTTAAAACTAATGTTATTATTATTAATATTGTTATTTATATTGTTAATATTTTGTACATTAATATTATTAATTAATATTATTATTAATATTAATATTAGTAGTAGTATTATTAATGATAATACTAATATAAAAAATACAAATCTTACAAATAACAATATTAATAATAATAATATTTAATATTATTATTATTATTATATTACTATTATTATTATTATTATTATCATCATATCATTATTATTATTATCATATCATTATTATTACTATTATCATTAAGTTGTTATTATTATTATTATTATTATATTATTATACTATTAATATTATTATGTCATTATTATTATTATACTTTTATTACTATTTTATTATTATTATTATCATTTCATTATTATTAGTAGTAGTATTAGTATATTATATTATTATTATATCATTGTTATTATTATTATATTACTATTTTTATAATGTTATTATTATTATTATTATACTTTTATGCCATTAATATTATTATTATGTTATTATTATTTTGCAATTATTACTATTATATTATTATTATGTTATTATTATTATATTATACTATTAATTATATTATGTTATTATTATATTATTATTATATCATTATTATCATACTATTATTATTATTATTATTATTATTATATTATTATTATTATTATTATTATTATTATTATTACAGTAACTCTGACGCTGCTGTTCCAGACCTTTTGCTCTCTTTGGCTTTTTTCCATGTTTGTTTTGTCTGGTTTCACAGACAGTACAAAGATCCTCCTCTGAACCGCTGTATGTTTGTGTGTGTGTGGTGATTATCGGTCAAGTGCGAGTGTGTCATCTGCTGTGTGTGTGTGTGTGTGTGTGTGTGTGTGTGTGTGTGTGTGTGTGTGTGTGTGTGTGTGTGTGTGTGTGTGTGTGTGTGTGTGTGTGTGTGAGGATTATTGGTCAAGTGTGAGTGTGTCATCTGCTGTGTGTGTGTGTGTGTGTGTGTGTGTGTGTGTGTGTGTGTGTGTGTGTGTGTGTGTGTGTGTGTGTGTGTGTGTGTGAGAGGATTATTGGTCAAGTGCGAGTGTGTCATCTGCTGTGTGTGTTTTTGCTGCTTCAGGTTGCCATTCCGGTGGTTTCTGTGCGACTGGTGAAGA